CGAGACTCCGTCTCAAAAACAAACAAACAAACAAACAAACACTTTTTTTCTGATAGTGAAAGCAAAAATAATAGCTGTCTTCTGCTGAGTATACTCTGCCAGGCACATGCTAACTCCTTTACGTTACCAGATGAGAAAATGGATGGCTAGCGCTGCCTCATGATTGAACAGCTAATTAGTACCTAAACCAAGCCTATTTACTGGAGAGTGCTCCCCTAACATCCATGTGCTTCCCAGAACCTCAGAATGTGACCTTATTTGGAAATAGGATCATCCCAAATGTGAGTAAAATGAGGTCATACTGGAGGAGGGAGGGCCCCTAATCTGATATGCCTGGTGTCCTTAGAGGAGGAGAAGAGAGACACACGAGAAGAATGTCGCCTAATGATGGAGGAGGCAGTGACTGGAGTGAGGAGGATGCTGGTAACACCAGGAGCTAAAAGAAAGGTGGAGCAGGCCCTGTCAACCACTAGATTACAGGCTTGTAGCTTCTCCCACTGTGAAACACTGCATTTCTCTTACAATCTGGCTGGCTTAAAAGTAACCAAAACGTATTGTTTCAGAGTTTTCCAGGCTGGAAGTCTGGAATCAAGTTACTGTCTCCGTTGTTTCCTACTGGGTTAAAGCCCATGCAGCCGGCCATCTGAAGCCATGCACCCTGCAAGGTGCTTAGCGGAGAAACTTTGGAAAACAAAGAATTCACTGAGTGCTCATGGTCCCACGTTCCAGAACCAGCCTCTGTAGAGTGTCTATTTTCCAGTTTTCTTCACTTGCCCCGAAGGCCATTCTGTCCACTTCCACCTTTTAAAAATAGTAGCAGCTCTCTTATTTATTTTCTTCTTTTGTTGTTTGATCAGCTGTACTCTTTGTGGGATGTGCTTTTAAAAGAGTGAGAACCGCTGTAAACTCCAGAATCCTGTTTTTCATCACCACCGCCACCATCCTCCTCTCCTTCTCATCACCATCACCATCATTAGCTGGCTGGAATAGGTCCAGTTGAATTGAGACGTGCCCCCGCCACAGTCTCGGACTCAAAGCTTTGCACTAAAAACGGAACCACAGTCTCTGATGAGACTCCCCAGAAGATGGCAGTGTGGATCACAAAACCACACCATCCATCCCCACGTACCACGCAGCCCCAGCCCGTGGATCCTGGTGTAACCAGAAGGCCCTGGGCCCGGGGCCGTGGTGAACGATCCTGCCGTCGTAGCCGGGCCACCCGCCGCCCTGAGGAGGACGCTGGGAGTGAGTATTTCCGCTCTGCGTGGTCCTTACTTCTTGTGAAAGAGAAAAACATTGAACTATAACTTTAAGCTCTTCGTTTGTAGAAAGTTACAGTTCAGACACTGGAGATTTTTGTCACCAATATTTCGAGGTATCCACTCTAATCTCTATATTCTGTCTCCTACTTATCTGAGGGGTTTAAGGCATCTCAGTATTGTGGATAAAAGAAGGAAGGGCTGAGAAAGAATTAAATAGAGAAAGTTCAGAAGGAGCAATGAAGCAGAATACCAGGATCATTTATTTAATGCTTAATAGCTGTGGGATCCAGGCATCCTCAACCCTCCAGTTTTTTCTTTCTTTTTTTTTTTGTTATGGGCATTAATATCTGTTGCTGATTCTGCACTGTTTACCACAGCTCAAATGAGAAAATGACTATTAAAACTGTAAGTATTTCTATCATTAAATATCCTTTGTATGATCTAGCAGTGATTCTCAAACATGATCAGAATCACCTGGATGGCTCATTAAAACGGATTGCTGGGCCTGGAGCGGTGGCTCACACCTGTAATTCTAGCACTGTGGGAGGCCGAGGTGGGCGGATCACAAGGTCAGGAGATCAAGACCATCCTGGTTAACACGGTGAAACCCCGTCTCTACTAAAAATACAAAAAATTAGCTGGGCACATTGGTGGGTGCCTGTAGTCCCAGCTACTTGGGAGGCTGAGGCAGGAGAATGGTGTGAACCCGGGAGGCGGAGCTTGCAGTGAGCCCAGATTGCGCCACTGCACTCCAGGCTGGGCGACAGAGCGAGACCCTGTCTCAAAAACAAACAAAACAAACAGACAAAAATCATGAATTTCTGGGCCCTACCCTCTCATTTCTGATTCAGTAGGTCTCAAGAGGGGCCAGAGAATTTGCAGCCCTAACAAATTTCCAGGTAATGCTGATGCTGCTGGTCCATGGAGGACACTTTGAGAACCACTGGTGGAACCCCGTCTCTACTAAAAGTACAAAAAGTATTCAGGCATGGCGGCGGGCGCCTGCAATCCCAGCTACTCCGGGGGCTGAGGCATGAGAATTGCTTGAACCCAGGAGGCAGAGGTTCAACAAATCTAAGAGAATGTGTTGCTTTCAAGCCCTTCTATAAGTCTTGGAACTTCCTAGGTGACTTTTTTTGTTCCCCCAAGATGGAGTCTCACTCTGTCACTCAGGCTGGAGTGCAGTGGTGCTATCTCAGCTCACTGCAAGCTCCGCTTCGCTGGCCTTGGCCTCCCAAAATGCTGGGATTACAGGCATGAGCCACCACATCCGGCCCCTAGGTGACTTTTTAATGCAAAATTAAGGATAGCATTTCACAAAATTAGGAAATGCTGTTTGTGTATGTGTGGGTGTGTTCAGTGTCTAGATGTACCCAAAGGTAACCATCTTACAGATCCCGCCATTTCCAGTGGGTGTGGAACTTGCACAAGTGCGTGTTTTCCACCTTATGGTGTCTACATACGCCACTCACTGCCACGAGAACCTGGTGGTTACTGAATTGACAGTGGGATCAGTGTGGCCCGAGGCTTCCCTCAAAGGCCAAAGGAGAAGCTTACAGACCGCAGGACCTCCCTTGAGAATGTCAGAAGAAGAGGTTGTGTTTGGTCACTGCTGGCCTTGCAGCCCCTTACCCGGGTCCATTTTCCCTCTAGGTTTATTTCTTGCTTACTGTCCATCTTTCTCCCTACCCCCCACATGTAAAAATTTAATGTGTCCCAACAACAGTGGCTGGCAAAGGACGGGCATGCAGCAATTGTGTTGAATGAATAGATAAACGCTGGCAGTGCCTTCTCTTCCCAAACACCTAAATGAATTTGTGAAGTGCATTTATGTGAGTCTGCTTAACAGCTTCCAGAACAGCTGTGAGGAAGGTTTCACATCGTTCCAGCAAAACACACAGTCACCATTATAAACTATAAAACCCAGGTGTTTGGGGAGGAGGCCCCAAATCCTTATTCACATCTTAAGCCAATCAAAATTCACATAATTCAGTCCAGAGCTAATCAATGTCAATGAACACAGAATTATAGAACCAAAGAAGTTAGTGCTGGAAGGGGCCAGGAGATTCTCTAAGTCCCAGCACTCTCTGAGTGAAGAAGTGGAAGGCCCCTCCTGACTGTGTGGCTGTGGAGGAGCCCGAGGGGAGTGAAGGGCGGGTCTCCCCTCCTAGGCTGGGGCTTCTGCTTAGCTTCTCTCCCGGACACCCTGAGAAAGAGAAGCTCGCAGTGATGCCCTCCCACTAGCCTCATGTGGACATGATGCAAAGGGGAAGTGTGAGGACCAGTGGCCAGCTCCTGGCTCGCACAGAGGCTCAGCCCCATCGCTCTGTTGACCTAAAAATAACGTAACCTGCGTTCTACACAGGTCCTGGTTCTCACTGACAGCGTATGGTAGGATTTACTGTCTTCAGATTCCGCCAGTGCGCCTACATCTTCCTGCATCTTCTACATGCTACAGATTCTGAGGTTGACACCGTAGGGACCTGTGCCAGCCTAACATTGTTTTTTCTTTTTTGTCTTTTTTTTTTTTTTTTTTTTTTTTTTGAGACAGAGTCTTGCTCTGTCGCCCAGGTGGGAGTGCAGTGGTGGTGCTCTATCGGCTCACTGCAACCTCCACCTCCTGGGTTCAAATGACTCTGCTGCCTCAGCCTCCCAAGCAGCTGGGACCACAGGCGTGCACCACACCTGGCTAATGTTTGTGTTTTTAGGAGAGATGGGGTTTCACCATGTTGGCCAGGCTGGTCTCAAACTCCTGACCTCAAGTGATCCACCCATCTGGGCTTCCCAAAATGCTAGGATTACAGGAGTGAGCCACCGCGCCCAGCCTAACATTGTTTTTTCTGATCCTGTAACTTGCCATTTGGGTTTTGGAATAAAACTGATCATAGGTTTAGAAAGAGAGGCTCGAGATGATGAGTAAGGAGCTGCTTGAGAGCCTTAATAGACCAGGAAGATTTAACAGACCAGAAATAAAGGCTGGCTGGGTGTGGTGGCTCATCCCTGTCATCCCAGCACTTTGGGAGACCAAGGCAGGAGGATTCCTTGAGGCCAGGAATTCAAGACCAGCCTGAGCAATAGAGAGCGATCCCCCTGTCACTATTAAAGTGAAAAAAAGTAAAAATAATAATAAAATAAAAATAAAGGCTCAGAGGGGCCAGAAGCTCAGAGAAGCTATAAATGGAAAGAAACAGAGGTAGACTATTAAATGCTCTCAGAGTCCAACCAGTCACAAGGCAGCGTTAGTAGAATTCACATCCCTTGAACACTGACAGTGCTGCAGCCAGCCAAGGGCTTCTCTTTAGTGGCGTTCAGTTCCCTACCAAGCTGTGCAGTACATAATAGGCTGAACCACATAAAATTGCCATTTTTATAAGTCAAATGGTTGAGCAGCGACAATATCATTTGGTTCTAGGATGGATCATTCGGAGCCTGAGCCTCAGAATGGAGAAATATCCTGGCAGTAGTCATGGTGCTGGAAAATGGTGTAGTGGAAGATTTTGAACCTAAATCTGATAGACTCCAAAATCCATTCTCTTTCCACTAAACTATGGGGCTAGGTAAGAAGGTGAAACTCGGGAAAAGCCATAGGCAATTGCACTGTTTGTATTGTACTCGATAACATTTCTTTTCATAACTCATAATCCTTTATTCTCCCTTTATAGTCATAAATAATGCACTTCAGGAAAACTGCAAGTACCATCTTGAAGGAGCCCTAAGTCCTGAAAGAACCACAAATGATTGTTTCCAGGTTATCAAATTTTAATAACATTGTTTTATTACAATACAACATCTATCCTTTTAAAGACGATGTTCCAAGAACTCGTTATGCAATTATAAAATAATAAACCTCTTCACAGAGTGAAGAACCAAAGGCAGTTCCTCTTTGTAGCAACACTCAGCATCTCCTGAAAAAAGTTTTTTTTAAATCCTAAGCATGCAATATTGCTTCTTCAGGCAAGAGTGAATGCAGCACAAAATAAGTATAAGCAAGGAATTGAATAAAACATGACTCAGAATGAATCTGATGCATATATGTGACACTCCTAACAATATCCTAGGGTGAGAATAGTCTTAAAGGTTGGTGATTTCTCCAGTGACCGAGATGGCAATGGCTTTTACGTACAACCAAGTTGAATCTTCGCCATTTTCTCCTCTTTTGTGTTCTCATATCATTATTGACAGTTTTCCCTTGTTACGGGTTATTTAATTCTAAATGTGCACACTTGGTTTTGGAATTTAATACATAGTCATAATTTTAAAAATCAGGTCATACATAAAAGTACAAAAAAAAAAAAGCAAATACACCACCTCAAATCCCACTTAGTCTTACCAGAAATAGAAGATTTGATGCTAATTTTCCACAGATTTACCTTCGGGGCATACTTCAGGGCATACTGAAGCCACTCACAGAAAGGAGAAGGTGGCTGTGATGGATCTAGACACGTAATTCAATTTCATGCAACAGCCACCCTGGGGTCTATTTGTGGATGATCTTTTGAGTTAACAAGTGGCTTGATTTCCCATCCCATACACTTGATTCATAAGCACACATATTAAAGAGAACTTCAAGTGCATTTCCTCCTCATTTTAATTAGGGCTCATGTAGAATATTTTTGCTCCAATTATAACCAGAACTACAAACACCTCCCGTCCTCAACCAAAGAAGCAGTTACACGTCCTCTGTGGCGCGCTCCAGTTCCGACCTGGGTATCACTGCATTTCTTCCCAGAAGAGCAACGTCTCGGGAAGTCAGGCCGCTCTGGGTAAGATGTCATGGCAACGGCTTAAACTGGAGAAAGACAGTGGAAACAGACCTTTTCAAACTTCGCAGACCTACACTTACGTTCCATTCTGCTTTTAACCGTGGAGGACCCAAATAGGACGTGAGAAATTGGAATAATTTTATTCTCTAGAAGCATCGGTAAGCCCCCCTCCTGGAAACACGTTAGAAAAGTTTTTACCCTTTGCCCTTTGCGTAGATAGGTCCAAAGACCTTCCCAGGTGTAAATTTTTCATCATGTACCACAGCAGAGAACAACAAAACCGTTGCACTCTGGCTGCTGAGCAACAGAGCCCAGGGACTCCCTCCTGCAGACCAGGCTTCGGGAACGGGATTCTCTTCTGTGAAGAGGCGAGGCTTCTCAAATAGCTGAAAGCCCAAATATTGAATCTGCAAAAGCTAAGAGTAAGGTAGTAATGTAACTGACTTCTAGTCCAAAGAGCCAAAGTTCAGCTCCGGCTCTGACATTTACATGATCTTGGGTGAACTCCCTAACCTCTCTGTTGTACAGGGTGAAGATAAAAACGACACACTGTTGGCGGGCGCGGTGGCTCACGCCTGTAATCCCAGCACTTTGGGAGGCTGAGGCAGGCAGATCACAAGGTCAGGAGATCGAGACCATCCTGGCTAACACGGTGAAACCCCGTCTCTACCAAAAATACAAAAAATTAGCCAGCAAGGTGGCGGGCACCTGTAGTCCCAGCTACTTGGGAGACTGAGGCAGGAGAATGGCGTGAACCTGGGAGCCGGAGCTGGCAGTGAGCCGAGATCATGCCACTGCACTCCAGCCTGGGGGACAGAGCGAGACTCCGTCTCAAAAAAAAACAAGACACACCGTTAGTGAAAATGCTTTGTAATTATGAAGTGCCATATGAATGTATGTATCACGGCAACCCAAGTGACTGGCCTGAAAAGTGACTGTGTTAATTCCAAAGTATTTCCCCAATTTTCTACAATTCTCACAGCCCTGTGTCATCAGGGTTGTCCCTTCTGCTTCCCCCGAATTCCATTTCTGTTTCATTTCAGGTTCTCTACTTACTGTTCACGTTCTGTGTGTCAACCCAGATGTGAGATTTCCACCCTGTCCTCAATTTCCCTCCCAAAAAAGTCACATGAGGCCTGTGCTTGTGGCAGACTTTACTAAGGGATACTGAGTGGGTTTACATAGCACAAACTCCAAAATAATTTAAAACTGAGTCTGAGATTCACCTGCTTTGAAAAATTCTTTAGCCATCTACCAGCAGGCCCCTTGCTGCACTCTTTAAATTCTTTTCTTCTCAAGAACCAAAAATGCACACAGGCCTCCACTCTCCCTTTTCACCTGCTGCACTCCCTGCCGGACACTCAGCCTCCCCCTTGCTTGCTCAGAAGAGCCACGTGCATTCTGCTGACACAAGGTGGCATCCGCCCAGACACCTGCTTTTCTTCTTTCTCCTCCAGTGTTTGTGAAGGAAAGAGCATGGTAGAGGCATTTTATTTCTCCTTGAATATAAATTATGGCACCATCGCCTCTCCCCTTTACAAGACAGAAGCAGCTATAGTCCATTTCTGTGTGTGTGTGTGTGTGTGTGTGTGTGTGTGTGTGTGTGTTTCCTTTGTTCATTTTTTTAGATGAAGTCTTGCTCTGTTGCCCAGGCTGGAGTGGAGTGGCACAATCTCAGCCCACTGCAACCTCTGCCTCCAAGTTCAAGCAATTCTCCTGCCTCAGCCTCCCAAATAACTGGGACTACAGGTGTACGCCACCACACCAGACTAATTTTTTGTATGTTTAGTAGAAATGGGATTTCGCCATGTTGGCCAGGATGGTCTTGAACTCCTGAGCTCAAGTGATCCACCGCCTTGGCTCCCCAAAGTGTTGGGATTACAGGCGTGATCCACTGCGCCCTGCCCATTTGTATTTAACAATAGGTTTTTGAATTGTTCATTCATTCATTCGTTCATTCATTCGAGAGGTGTTGCATCTGCTCATTCATTCGAGAGGTGTTGGCCGGGCACAGTTGTTCACGCCTAATCTCAGCACTTTGGGAGCCAAAGTGGGAGATCGCCGCGGCAAGGAGTTTCACACCAGCCTGGCAACACAGTGAGACCCCATCTCTACAAAAATAGAAAAGTAGCCAGGCATGGTAGCAGTCTGCGTTCTAGCTACTCGGGAGGCTGAGGCAGGCGGTTGCTGGAGCCTAGGAGCTTGAAGGTGCAGTGGGCTGTGGCCGTGCCACTGCGCTCCAGTCCAGGTGACAGAACACCTATCTCCTAAAAAAACAAACAAACCAATATGTGTGTTTCCCCTTCAGTGCCAGGCTCCTATTCTGATGCTGTGTGACTACAGCCAAAAAATCCTCGCTACTGTGAAGCCTTTAGTAGCTTGAGGGTGGGTGAAAACTACAGACAATAAACCAATATATAATTAAAGTAAATGTATATCAGACTGTGACAGGGAAAAGACAAAGCAGGATAGGGTGACAGGAAGAAGGCAAGATTGTGAATAGTGGCTGTACAGTTTTGGGTTAGGTAGTCAGAAGACCCCATTGAGGAGTGACCATTTTAGCAAAGACCTGCAATGTGCCTGGGGGTGAGCTGTGTGACTGGGGGTGGACTGGGGAGTGAGTCGTAGGACTGGAGTGAGTCGTGACTGGGGGTACGTGACTGGAGGACGCACTGGGGGTGTGGACTGGGGGTGGTTTGATCAGGGGGTGAGCCGTGACTGGGGGTGAGTCAGACTGGAGTGAGTCGTGACTGGGGTGAGTCGGTGTCTGGGGGTGAGTCGTAGACTGGGGTGAGCCGTGTGACTGGGAGTGAGTCAGGATCAGGAGGTCAAGACTGGGGGTGGACTGGGGGTGAGCCGTGGACTGGGGGTGAGCCGTGTGACTGGGGTGAGCCTGTGACTGGGGGTGAGTCGTGACTGGGGTGAGCCGTGGACTGGGGTGAGTCGTGTGACTGGGGAGTGAGTCGCACTGTGTGACTGGGGGTAAGCCGTGTGACTGGGGGTGAGTCGTGACTGGGGGTGAATGTGACTGGGGGTGAGTCGTGACTGGGGTGAGTCAGACTGGGGGTGAGTCGACTGGGGAGTGAGTCGTGGTGACTGGGGAGGAGTCATGACTGTGGGTGTGATTGGGGGTGACAGAAATAAAGAGTCAGACTGGGGGTGAGTCGACTGGGGTGAGCCGTGTGGACTGGGGGTGGATGTGACTTGGGAGTGGAGTCGTGACTGGGGGTGACTGGGGGTGAGCGTGACTGGGGGTGAGCCGCAGACTGGAGGAGTCGGTGATCAGTGGTGAGTTCGTGACTGGGGGTGTGACTGGGGGTGAGCCGTGTGACTGGGGGTGAGTCAGACTGGAGTGAGCCATGTGACTGGGGGTGAGTCGTGACTGGGGGTGAGTCGTGTGACTGGAGTGAGCCGTAGACTGGGGGTGAGTCGGTGACTGGGGTGAGCTGACTGGGGGTGAGTCGGTGACTGTGGGGTGAGCCAGTGACTGGGGGTGTGACTAAAGAGCCGGTGACTGGGGTGAGTCAGACTGGGGGTGCAGACTGCCATGTGACTGGGGCAGCCGCAGACTGGGGGTGTGACTGGGGAGTGAGTCGTGACTGGGGGGTGAGCCGTGTGACTGGGGTGAGCCCAGGACTGGGGGTGTGACTGGGGGGAGCCGGGACTGGGGGTGGAAATGTGACCTGGAGGAATCGTGTGATCAAAGTGACGTGACCGAGTGAGTCAGGACTGGGGGTGAGCCGCAGACTGGGGTGAACCGGGGACGGAATGAGCCGTGTGACTGGGGGTGAGCCGTGACTGGGGGTGAGTCGTGACTGGGGGTGAGCCGTGTGACTGGGGGTGAGTCGTGACTGGGGGTGAGTCGGGTGGACTGGAGTGAGTCGTGGGATCAGAGCTGCAGCGTGTGACTGGGGGGTGAGCCGTGTGACTGGGGGGTGAGCCGTGTGACTGGGGAGTGAGCCGTGTGACTGGGGTGAGCCGTGTGACTGGGGGGTGAGTTGTGTGACTGGGGGTGAGCCGTGTGACTGGGGTGAGTCGTGTGACTGGGGTGAGTCGTGTGACTGGGGGGGGAGCCGTGTGACTGGGGGGAGCCGTGTGACTCGGGGGAGCCGTGTGATTGGGGAAGAGGCAAGGATGGAACATGTCACAGGCTGAGGAAGCAGAGCCCGGGCCAGGGCCCTGAGGCAGCAGGCTGTTATCACATCAGTAGCTTTTCTATCTGCAATGGACAGGATAAGATTTCACCTTTTGCTTAACTCAATCTCAGGCGTTTCTTCAGGGTCCCAGAATTTCCTCAACTTTGTCCCCACCTTCATTTTGTATTTCCTGTTGATTCTGCCTTCTAAATATACCTTGAGCCCAGTCCTTCCCCTCCATCTGACCGGCCATGGCACTCGCTTACATGTGATTTCTCTCCTGGTCTACAGGTGCAGCTTCCTAACTGGAGAGTCTGCCCCACTTCAACTCCCACCTGGGTGATTTAGAGTTCAGACCTGATCTGACCACTCTGCTGCATTAAGTATTTCAATTCCTTCCAGCCCCCATAACCTTCAGAATACAATTCAAGCTCCTAGCATGGCAATAGCAAAGATCGTCAGCCCCCCAACCGTGCCCCTCAGTACCTGCTGTTCCAGATGATGCCCGCAGGGCCCTGCTGCAAGCACCAGCTGCTCTTCACTTGAGGGACTGTCTTAGTTTTGGGCACTGGGCTTTAAGTGCCAGGAAGTTAATGTTCTCAGGCAGCAGCCCTCAGCCAGTGAGAGACGGGAATGGAAGGACCAATTGTCCCTCTTGCCCACCCCCGAGGGGGGCAGTGCAGAGATAAAGCACTTTGAGGAGTTTTCTACACTGTCTGCCAGATTTTTCCCGGTGGCATTGACTCCCAGTGCCCACAGGGCCACAATGCCCATTATTCTGACCTTCTTACCTTCCCCTCCCACCTCCCCACCAGCCCCCACTGGAGCTTCCTAGAAGCATCCCTCAAATAAACAACGTGTACTCAAATCTTTGTGTTTTGGCTATTGTCGTGGGTTGAATTGTGTCCTCTAAAAAGTGGAAGTTCTAACCCCTGGTGCCTGTGGACATGACCTTATTTGGAAATAGGGTTTCCATGGATATAATCAGATATATTTCGTGGATATAACTAAGATGAGGGGTGGGCCCTGATGCACCATGATTAGTATTCTTATAAGAGTAGAGAGAGCACATAGGAGGAAGAGAACGCCATGTGAACAGGGAGACGGGAGGTCAGGTGGCAACAGAATAGAGACCGGAGTGTCGTGTCTCCAACGAAGGGATGCCAACGATTCCCAGTAACATGGGAAGCTAAAGAGAAGGGCATGGCACAGGGTCCCCCGAGCCTTCAGAGGGGGTGTGGCCCTGCCGACACCTTGGTTTCAGGCTTCTGTCCTCCATAACGGGGAAGGAATAAGTTTCTGTTGTTTTAAGCCTGCCAGTTCATGGTACTTTGTGACAGGGGCCCTAGAAAACTGACAGTTATCTATCGCTGTGCATAACAACATTCTCCAAAACTAGTGCCAGAACCACCGTTTTCTTTATCTCACATTTTATGGGTCAGAAACTTGGGCAGGGCTCAGCTGGGCAATTTTTCTGTCCCATGTGGTGTTGACTGAGATGTCCAACTGGCAGCTAGGAAGTCGAGGGAATCCACAACAGCTCCGCTCGTTGTCTGGCACTTTGGTGGGGTTGCAGAGACAACTAGAAGGCTGGACCTGGCTGGGGCCGTGGCCCAGAGAGCCTGCATGTAACCTCTTCAACTTGGCCAATGTAGGGTCATCAGAGTTCTTCCATGGTGGCTCAAAGCTACCAGAGTAAGGGTGTTCCAAGATGCCCAGGTAGGAGCAGCAAGGCTTCGTGTTAAGTTAGTTTCAGAAGTCCCAGAATGTTACTTCTACAAATTCTGCTGGCTAAGCAGGTCACTAAGTCCAGCCCAGATTCAGAGGGTCATGAATAGACAGCACCGTGAAATGGGAAAAAGAGCAAAGAATGCGGCCATCCTTCATGTACATCACCTGTGCCAGGGTCTGCTGCTAGGGGAACCCAACCTAAGACACTTGCCTACAAGATTCTTCAGGATCTGGCTCCTGCCCTGTGTCTAGGGCCATCTCATGCCCTCACATTCGCCTCTGGTGCCTGACATGCCAGATTCTCTTCTGTTTTTCTAACACTCCATGTTCTATCTTGCTCCTATGCTTTTATTTAATTTACTTATTATACGCAAAGTAAAAAAAAAATACACAGTATATGTTGATGCTCCCCTCTGCCTAGAACGTCCTTCCACTCCATCCTTGTTTACCTGCAGCTGAGCTCATCCCTGGAGTCCTCGACTGGGCTTCACCTTCTTCTTTCCAGTGAGGTCACGTACCTCCACCCTGCTCCTGCCTCTGCTGCGTGGAACACGTCGATTTCCTTGTCAGTAAGTTCCTCCAGAGAAGGAATTCTTCTTTCCCCTACTTCGGTGTCCTCATGTCTGATGATGGATGAATGAATTATGTGTGGCCCTAAGAACTCCAAGGCAAAAATATAAACAGTTCAGCAAATTGCTAAATTTTTACATTGATGTTCTCCTGCCATTTTTGAGGGATTTTCTTAATGTCAACCAGCTCAATGTAGGAGCCGGTCACCAAGCTGTCATGAGGCTGAGGGGGGTCAGGTGGGGAGATAATCTAATACAATTATTATTATTATTATTATTTTGAGATGGAGTCTCGCTCTGTGTTGTCCCACCCTGTGGTGTAGTAGATTGAGAGCAGAATTTGAGTTGAAGAGAGCTGGGCTCAAGTCCTTACTCGGTTCATTATTGTGTGACCAACCTAGAGCAGGAGGCTCCACTCCCCAGGGCATAGGGCGGAGGTAGAGTTGGTGGCTAACCTTCTGTTCCGAGGGCAAAGGGAGCTCCGGATCCTTGGTCCTGGAGGAACTGCAGAGGAACAAAACATGGCCCTGGACCTCCAGGGAACACACAGTGAGCTCAGCCCCACCCCAGAACCACACCTGTGGACGCTGGATGCCGAACCAATGGATAAAGTGAAGGGAATTGTGTGTGGGCCTCAAGCCAAAGCAGGACAGGTGGCTCAACCAGAGGACCTGCGCCAACATTCCATTCTGCATCAGTGCCCAAACAGAGATGCCTCTCACCAGGGCTCCAGCTTCTCTGTGAGTTAAACATTAACTGGGCTCGAGCCCCTGTATCCAGGAATGCAGTAAACACGAAGTTCTCAGCCAGGGTCTGATACCCCCCTGAGGGCATCTGAAACGTGTGAAGGTGTTTCTGGCTGACCCGTTGGTCCTCAGGAAAGAGCATTCGCCAGCAACAGCACTGCTCTGCAGCACATGGAAGAGACCCGCACGGTGAAGACATGTCCTGACCAAATGCCAGCAGCTCCCCCTCGAGAAGGGCTGCTAGGGAGCCACGCTGGTCGAGAAGGGCCGCTAGGGAGCCACGCTGGTGTCCTGGGCTGCTGGAATGCAGAGGGGAGGGGCAGCCTCAGTATCTTGAATTCCAGTTGCAAGAATCAAGAGATAATTACATTTGAGTCTTTTGTCAACTGGCAAATGTTATAAATATATCAATCAATGCAATGTGTCCTCCAGTGGCTCCTAAATGTGATGTCTTTTTTTAAAAAAAATAATGAGGCCAGGCGTGGTGGCTCACGCCTGTAATCCTAACAATTTGGGAGGCTGGGGAGGGCGGATCACTTGAGGTTAGGAGTTTGAGACCAGCCTGGCCAAGATGGGGAAACCCCGTCTCTACTAAAAATACAAAACTTAGCGGGGCGAGGTGGTGCGCACCTGAAGCGCCAGCTACTCAGGAGGCTGAGGTACGAGAATTGCTTGAACCCGGGAGATGGAGGTTGCAGTGAGTCTAGATCAAGCCACTGCACTCCAGCCTGGGCGATAGAGTGAAACTCCATCTCATAAATAAATAAATAAGATAAAACTTACATGAAGTGAAGTGCACAAATCATAAGGTACAGCTCAGTGACTTATGTCCTACCTCAACACATACCCAGATCAGGATATGCAACGTTTGCATCATCCCAGAAAGTTCCTTCAGGCCCCTCTCCGGTCAGTACTCCCCTCCCAGAGGCAACCGCTCTTCCGAACTCTCCAGAGACGAGTTTTTCCTGTCCCTGAACTTCACATAAGGGGAATCATCCAGCAACTCCTGTTTCGTATCTGGCCTCCTTTGTGAACAGGTCTTGAGGCTCCTCCGTGTTGTTGCTTGGACCACTTGGACCAGCAGTGCACCCCTTTTTATTGCTGCGTCATGACATATATCTTTTTTAGGTGGAAAGGATTTTAAATCTCAAAATTACAGCAGAAGCTACAAAGAATCATTCCACCCCTTGCACGATTTCAGATCCTGGTCTCTTTACCGGCCTCGCTCCCACGCTGGGGGAATTATGTCAATTAGCTTTTAGCTGTGTTGGCTTAGGACCAGCCCGCCGTTCCTAACAAGGACAAGGGTTTCGAGAGGAGAGGCTTCTGTTAGCTTAGTATTTATGAGTCTACTTATCTGTTCTTCAAGTCAAAAATCTGCTTGCCTCTTACTTAACTGTTTTATTTACCTAGAAAGTAGAAAGAAAGGCTACTCTAAGTGCAGGTAAGCTGCTCAGCTTGGAAGCCTGGTGCTTTAAGAGAAAAAGCACACACTCTGCAAACAAGACGTGGGGAGTGGAATGGAAAACTCGCTGAGTGCTTTCCTGGCTTCACGCCAGTCTGGGAATACTTAACTTTATATATATTTAAAGCCAACTGTTCTCACATTTAGGCCAATTTTTCTTTTGCTAATATGGTCTTTTCTTGTCTTCAATCCAAAACAGATTGAGAATCAAGAAAGATATATTCTATCCACAGTTTCATTTCACCAATCTTCTGTTCATTTTCAACTAACGACAACGATTTATATGTCTTTAAATATTAATGTGGGTGCCAAAGAACACAAAACAAAGGCACTGTTCGTTCAGAGTCAGAATTGACTGAGAATTCCTGCAGAGGCGAAGTTTCTTCTAACTGATGGATTTGGTCTGGCAATGCCCGTGGCCGGAGGTGCACAACAAGGAAATGAACGAGTGCAGAGGGAATAGTGCCCGTCAAGAATCTACAGGTTCAGGTGTATACTTAGGCAAGTGCCTGACACCATTTCTTTGTCACTGGTGCCCTGTTGACTCTGGATCCCCTTAGAAATTGGGAGGAAACGTTTGGGTGCGGTGGCTCACGCCTGTAACCCCAGCACTTTGGGAAGCCAAGGTGGGCGGATCACGAGGTCAGGAGATGGAGACCATCCTGGCTAACACAGTGAAACCCCGTCTCTACTAAAAATACAAAAAATTAGCTGAGTGTGGTGGCGGTGCCTGTAGTCCCAGCTACTCGGGAGGCTGAGGCAGGAGAATGGCGTGAACCTGGGAGGCGGAGCTTACAGTGAGCCGAGATTGCACCACTGCTCTCCAGCCTGGGCGACAGAGTGAGACTCCATCTCAAAAAAAAAAAAAAAAAAAAAAAAAAAATTGGGAAGAAACTCGGGGAGAAATGACTGTGTGTGTTTCTCTTGATTAGTTATCGTCACTATATCACTTCACCTTAATCTGCATCACCATTTGCAGCCACTGTATTTCATAATGCTTAGGGTTTATCAGCCATCACCCCACAGCTCCTGTCCATGGTTCAGTTTGGATTAACCTGGGACGTGGTAAGGACAGTACTCTTGCAACTTGAGGGGTGAAAAGGCTAAATGACTTCTGCAGGGGTAACATTCAGTAAGCGGAGGAGGGTCTGCCTCGTTCGCTCCTTTGTCTCCAGGTTAAACTGAATGATACTCTAAAAATGTACCAGAATGAGCCCTTTGCAATATTTTATTTTATGTTTTAAATTTATTTTATTTTATTTTTTAGACGGAGTCTCACTCTGCTGCCAGGCTGGAGTGCAGAGGCGCGATCTCGGCTCACTGCAACCTCTGCCTCCCGGGTTCAAGCGATTCTCCTTCCTCAGCCTCCCGAGTAGCTGGGACTACAGGCGCCCGCCACCTCGCCCAGCTAATTTTTGTATTTTTAGTAGACACAGGGTTTTACCACGTTGAACAGGATGGTCTTGATCTCCTGACCTCATGATCTGCCTCCCTCGGCCTCCCAAAGTGCTGGGATTATAGGTGTGAGCCACGGCGCCCAGCCATTTATTTTTATTTTTTAAATGGAATCTCTCTCTGTTGCCCATGCTAGAGTGCAGTGGCACAATCTCAGCTCAGTGCAACCTCTGCCTCCGGGTTCAAGTGATTCTCCTGCCTCAGCCTCCCAAGTAGCTGGGATTACAGGCATCTGCCGTCACATCCCATCACATAATTTTTGTATTTTTGATAGAGATGGGATTTCGCCACGTTCGCCAGGCTGGTCTTTTTTTTTTTTTTTTTTTTTTTTTTTTGAGACGGAGTCTCGCTCTGTCACCCGGGCTGGAGTGCAGTGGCCAGATCTCAGCTCACTGCAAGCTCCGCCTCCCGGGTTCACGCCATTCTCCTGCCTCAGCCTCCCGAGTAGCTGGGACTACAGGCGCCCGCCACCTCGCCCGGCTAGTTTTTGTATTTTTTAGTAGAGACGGGGTTTCACCGTGTTAGCCAGGATGGTCTCGATCTCCTGACCTCATGATCCGCCCGTCTCGGCCTCCCAAAGTGCTGGGATTACAGGCTTGAGCCACCGTGCCCGGCCCAGGCTGGTCTTAAGCTCCTGACCTCAGTGATCCGCTCGCCTCGGCCTCCCCAAAGTGCTGGGATTACAGATGTGAGCCACTGTGCCCAGCCCCTTTGCAATATTTTATAAAGGTTAACTAAAAGGCACAGAGTCCTTATTTTAATATAAGGAATTTAAAGCCTTGTCCATTAAACAAGAATAAAGTTGCTTGACTTGTCCCAGTGAATGGGCTACAAATGATTAGATGCTACGGCCTGTTGTCCGTCTTCCTTCTCCCTCCGCTCGTCAGAACAGAAGCTGCACGACGGCAGGGATTTGGCTTAGTTCGCTGTTCTATCCAGAGCCCCTAGGCCAGGGCCAGAAGCACAGTGCATGGTCTATAAATACTACACACGTGAGAGGATGAAGAAATGAAGGCACGAGGGAAGAAAGGACAGAGCAAGGCTTAGATCGCTGGAGTGGCTGGCTGAAGGTCACACAACCACAGCAACCTCGATGTTCGAGAGACTGAGCTTAAACACCACCCTCTGTTCGATCTTGTCATCTGCGCTTTCGTTTCCATTGGTAGTATTTGTTGCCTTTATGGAGGTGAGAGTGCGGGGAGGGGAGACGTTGCCATTTTTCTGGAGAAATGTCTTTAACAAGGTGTGAGAGGTGCCGTGTGTCTTACACGAGGAAGACGGCGATTTTTGAGAAGGCGACGAACAAGGTGAGAGGTGCCGTGTGTCTTACACGAGGAAGACGGTGAACAAGGTGTGAGAGGTGCCGTGTGTCTTACGAGGAAGGCGAACAAGGTGTGAGAGGGTGCCCGTGTGTCTTACGAGGAGACGAGCGGAGCAAGGTGTAGAGGTGCCGTGTGTGTTACCGCGAGGGAGACGGCGGAGCAAGGTGTGAGAGGTGCCGTGGCGTGGCCCGCGAGGAAGGCGGCGGGCTCGCAAGGTGTGAGAGGTGCCGTGTGTCTTACACGGGAAGGCAGCAGGTGAAGGTGTGAGAGGTGTGTGTCTTACGAAAGACGCGAACAAGGTGTGAGAGAGGTGCCGTGTGTCTTCACGAGGAAGAGGAGTGAACAAGGTGTGAGAGGTGCCGTGTGTCTTACGAGGAAGAGGAGTGAACAAGGTGTGAGAGGTGCCGTGTGTCTTACAGCGAGGGAGACGGTGAACAAGGTGTGAGGAAGGTGCCGTGTGTCTTACGGGAAGAGGGTGAACAAGGTGTGAGAGAGGTGCCGTGTGTGCTTACCACGAGGAAGGCGGCGAACAAGGTGTGAGAGGGTACCGTGTGTCTTACCACGAGGAAGACGGCGAACAAGGTGTGAAGGTACCGTGTGTCTTACGAGGAAGACGGCGAACAAGGTGTGAGGAGTGCCGTGTGTCTTCTGAGGAAAATGATGAACAAGGTGTGAGAGGTGCCGTGTGTCTTACGAGGAAGGCAGCGAACAAGGTGTGAGAGGTGCATTGTGTGTTACGAGGAAGGCGAGTGAACAAGGTGTGAGAGGTGCCGTGTGTCTTACACGAGGAAAGAGAGGTGAACAAGGTGTGAGAGGTTAAAGTGTGTCTTACGAGGGAGACGGCGGAGCAAGGTGTGAGAGGTGCCGTGTGTCTTACGAGGAGAAGGCGAACAAGGTGTGAGAGGTGCACCGTGTCTTACCACGAGGAGAAGACGAGCGAACAAGGTGAGGTGCCGTGTGTGTCTTACGAGGAAGACGGCGAACAAGGTGTGAGAGAGGTGCCGTGTGTCTTACCGCAGGGGCGGTGAACAAGGTGTGAGAGGTGCCGTGTGTCTTCACGAGGAAGAAGGGGAGCAAGGTGTGAGAGGTGCCGTGTGTCTTTACGAGGAAGAGAGGGTGAACAAGGTGTAGAGTGCCAGTGTGTCTTACACGAGGAAGAGGTGAACAGATTTGAGAGGAAGAAAGTGCCGTGTGTCTTACGAGGGAAGAGGGTAGACAAGCTGCTTTGGATGTGAATGCTTGTGACTGGTTGGAACCCCTGACTAGCAGAGTGATTTACTGATAACTTACAGCCCAGGATTTAAATTCATGATCACAACACATCGGAGGCCTCATCAGGGCTATGGTTGGTCTAACTCCACAGGTGTGAAAGATCAGGGTCGTTATTCCTCCTGAGGACCTCACATGGAACCTTTTTTTTTTTTCTCAAAACCGTATCACCTAAGTTTCTGGTGTATCACAAGACATGCCCATAGCAAAGGGCGTAAAACTTGATGGTTGATGCTCTTTTTTTTCATGCTTAGCACATACTAAAGAAATATATCTGCTCATGAATATGTAAATAAGTTTTATTTAAAGTCTAACTGGCTTGAAAGAAAGATTCTTGAATCACCTGGTGTGAGAGGTGCCGTGTGTCTTACACGAGGAAGAGGGTGAACAAGCTGCTTTGGATGTGAATGCTTGTGACTGGTTGGAACCCCTGACTAGCGAGTGATTTGATAACTTACAGCACGGGATTTAAATTCATGATCACAACACATCGGAGGCCTCATCAGGGCTATGGTTGGTCTAACTCCACAGGTGTGAAAGATCAGGGTCGTTATTCCTCCTGAGGACCTCACATGGAACCTTTTTTTTTTTTCTCAAAACCGTATCACCTAAGTTTCTGGTGTATCACAAGACATGCCCATAGCAAAGGTAAACTTGATGGTTGATGCTCTTTTTTTTCATGCTTAGCACATACTAAAGAAATATATCTGCTCATGAATATGTAAATAAGTTTTATTTAAAGTCTAACTGGCTTGAAAGAAAATTCTTGAATCACCTCTTGGTGTTCTAGGAATTCAGTATTTCTCAGTGCAAATATCAAACTCCTACTCAGAAGCACCAAATGGAGACCTGGCTGGTTGTAAAGCATCTATTTGCTCAGAAGAATACGGCCCACGCACAGGAAAAATGTCCCTTCTTCTACTGATGTCCCAAATGCCTCTTTGCTTGAAGATTGCTCAAGAGGGATGCCAATGTGGATAATGCAGCTTTACAGTGACGAGTGAACCCAGTCCAGCTCCATATTACATATTTGTGTTTCATAATATGGTAAGGCTCTTAGCAAGGAGGGGAAAGAACCAATTCAGAGAAAAAGAGCTCTCTGGAATAAATAAGATGCCGAGTTGGCAGACAGTACCAGATAGTTCACCTTAATGCTTTTTTTTTTGAGACGAAGTCTCACCCTGTTACCCAGGCTGGAGTGCAATGGCACCATCTCAGCTCACTGCAATCTCCACCTCCCGGGTTGAAACGATTCTCCTGCCTCAACCTCCTGAGTAGCTGGGATTACAGGCACCCACCACTGTGTCCACCTAATTTTTGTATTTTTAGTAGAGATGGGGTTTCACCATGTTGGCCAGGCTGGTCTTGAACTACTGACCTCGTGATCCGCCCGCCTTGGCCTCCCAAAGTGCTGGGATTACAGGCGTGAGCCACCGCACCCCGGCCTAATGCCTTTTTAACAACGTCTGGGTGTATCTTTCTTTTTTCTTGTCATCTGTGTTCTCAAGACAGAGAGCAAAATAGCAGCTTAACAACATTTTCTACTAACAGAAAAATCATAGTAACCAAGTGTACCTGAAAGCTTATTAATTTTCCTGGCAAGCCACCTTTACCTTGATTCCTTTTATTGCATTAAAAATCGAGACTAATTAAGGCAACTGTTGCTGCAGCCAAATTAGGTTTTCCTCACAGCTCTCCCTTCATCTCCCAGAGTGATGTCATTAGGTGTGCAGCCTGTGAAATGCGAAGGTCAGCCCGTTTCCACCGTGACATGGGTCACGCAGGAATGCGAGGGAAGTACACCACTGAATGTCATAAAGCTTTAAAGAGTTCCAATAACACCTACCCTGCAGGCCAAGCAGAATACGGGCATCCACTTCTCCTTGTAAACAGACTCTGTGAAGCCAGAGGGAAGGCAGGTGGGAAGCCATGCAGGAAATGATGGCATGACGGCTCTGCATAGCTGCTCCGCGGGCGACCTGGTCTACGGGCCTCTTGATTGGCCGGTCACCTGGAGGCTCCACATAGAACGGGGAGTTGGGACCACCAAAGTACACAGCTTCTTGGCAGGCCTGTTTGGCCACAGGCAGCTCTTGACTCACGGGGCTGTATTATATGGCCACTTGATAGCTGCTTACGATTAAGCAAGCTCCAGTGTGCTTTCACAATAGAGATATATTAGTCAAACAAGTTTACCTCATTTGTTTCCACGAGCCCTGGGATTTAAAGAGTTAGATTACAGTCCACTCACCAAGATTCTTTCATACAGATGGTTTTCTTACAGTGGAGTAGCCCGTTGCCTTCTCAGGTGAAAACCATTTAGCCAGACCCCTCTGGTCTGTTGGACCCCTCCGGTCTGTCGGACCCCTCCGGTCTGTCGGACCCCTCTGGTCTGTTGGACCCCTCTGGTCTGTTGTCTGCAGGCGTCTAGGTAGCCTCTGAGCCCTGATCCGTAACCAGACATAAGCATTTGTGTTGACATTGATCAAAAAACACTGCTATTGCCAACTACCCAGCACGTGTTTCTAAAACCTACCACGTATAAGGCATAGTTCCAGATGCTATGAGCTAGACATTGATCAGAAGCCTGTAAGACCCGTGCTCAAGAAGACAGGCTAAATATACATAAAAGTAATTCAGAATTACATGACAGTCTAGGAAAAGGGCAAAGAAAAGACAGCAGTTTAAATCCTAATGGCAAGGAGAATGTGAAGGGAAACAGAGATCGAGAGAGAAGTATTGTTTGGAAAGATCAGGAACGATGTGAAGTTTAGATCGTGGAAAATGTAAAATTTAAGGAGGGATAAGCAGAGAAAAGGGACAAGCCAGAAGGAACAGCTAAAGACGAGTTCGACGAGAAGAAAAAGGTCGCCTGCGTCCCACTTGTGCACTGTCTCAGGTGGCAAGGTGAGGAATTCAAGCTTATTTGTCTTAAAAAAAAAAAAAGAAAATCACTTTATTGAGATATGAGTGACATATAAAAAGCTGTGTCTACTTAATGTATACATCTCAGTAAGTCTGAGGATAAGTATATGCCTATGAAGTGATCGCCACCATTGAGGAGATGTTTATGTCCATTCACTTTTTTTTACGGACAGTGGGGAGTCATAGAATGTTCTTAACAAGGGACTTACATCATTTAGGGCTATTGTATCATAAGCAGCAGGGAAGCCAGTGTGACCTGGCTTAAACAACAAAGGATGTTTCTTGGCTTACACAACAGAAACCTCCACAGACAGATGTTGGCCTCAGGTAAGGTTCGATCTAGCAGTCCAAACAAGAACTCCCGGACACGAGTTTCTCTCTGCCTCAGCTTCATCCTCAGACACCACACTGGCCCTGCCTTCCATCCCCATCCTCTCTCCACGTGTGGCAGGAAATGGCTGCCGCAACTCCAGGCTCAGATCTCCCTGTACCTTCCGGAGGAAGAGCAAGCTTCCTTCCTGGTGGCATCTCTGGAAGAGGAGGAAGCTTGTCTTTCCCAGAGGCCTCAAAGGCTCCTGTGTCTTCACGGATTTGAATGGGTCACCGGTTTATCGGGAATCGGCGGAGGATGTAAGTAAGTACATGGGAAAAGCTGATTGGTTTCGCCAACCACAGTCCACCCCTGGAGCAGGAGAGGTGGGCGAATCCCTCCCAAGCTGCCGGGCTGAGAATGAGAAAGGAGGGATTTCCTGGAAGAGTCCACAAGTGGTGCTGGGAAGGGAGAATGGCCCCTGGGTGGCCAAAGAATGATACACGTTTACTCGAGGGAATAAGAAGACAAGGGCAGGTAGGTTTATGTGACAGTCAAGACCGGCTTTTCAAGCCATATAATTGTAAAGGTATGAAATAACCTCTACTGACACTGACTAAAAAAAGGTCAGGATCGACCTAAAAAAAAAGACACCGGAGAAAATTGTCTCTAAATATGTTGGGTTTACTCGAGAATGGAAGTGAGGATCATAGACGGCAATGCATGGCACGGCGAGCCACCAGTGTGCCCAGCGAGGAGTGGGGAGGGGAGCTTTGATCAGCAAAAATACATTGACGTAAGCTGCTTAGAAACAAGTTCATTGGTTCCAAAGGTTCAAAGCTAGAGTTGTTGTCAGTTCATTGGGAAGAACACTTTTCTTCCAAGAACATTTTATTTGAATCACTGCAGTCCTAAAGAATGTGTAGGCCAGGCGCGGTGGCTCACGCCTGTAATCCCAGCACTTTTGGGAGGCTGAGGTGGGCAGATCACAAGGTCAGGAGATCGAGACCATCCTGGCTAACACAGTGAAACCCCGTCTCTACTAAAAATACGAAAAATCAGCCGGGGAGGTGGCGGAGCCTGTGGTCCCAGCTACTCGGGAGGCTGAGGCAGGAGAACGGCGTGAACCCGGGAAGCGGAGCTTGCAGTGAGCTGAGATCGCGCCACTGCACTCCAGTCTGGGCGACAGAGCGAGACTCCGTCCCAAAAATAAATAAATAAATAAAAATAAAAAATAAAAGGAATTGTCTTTAAAGAGAGGGAGATGCTAGCATCTTTAAGAAATCATATCCATAGGTTCTAAATTCATTCTGTACACTTATCAGCCAAGAGAAGGCAGCAGGCATTCTGAATTCAAGAGAAAAGTGTGATTGGCCTGAAAGAAGAATGCCTTTGTTCGTGTGTGTTCCTTTTTTTAAACCGTAGGACTCAACCCTTTGGCCCCTCACAAAAGCAAATTTTGACATTGACTTCAGTGGGAAGAAGGAGGTCACGTTTTCAATAAAAGGGCTTTTTTTTTCTGTCCCTGTCTGGCTCCAGTCACTGCAGGCCGGAACCCCTTGTGAACTACAAAGCTCTCTGTCCACAAATTAGGAGCATCAGGAGCACACCCACCAGGCCTGCCAGCCGTTTCGCTTTCTTCAGTGAAGTCACGGCCGTCATTGCCACCACGGTTCAATACCACAGAAACAATCGTGAGGGATTCGTGTCTGCCTTGCTCAGGTTCGGGGGTGGGGGAGAGAGACAGGTGTCCCCCACCTGGCTTCGGTTCACCCTGGCTGTCTTCCCCTCACCCCTTACTTCTTCGTCTGCCCCTGAGCTGGTACCTTTATAGACGCACGCAGCCCTGGAGGGGTGTGAAACTGGGCCTGGATGGGAGGGAGTCCTTGAATGAGAGGGGTTGGCTGCAGGAAAGACAGCGAATTCTAAAGAAGACTCCTGGCAGTGATCGGAGACACGCTCCTTAGAGAGTGTATCTGAGCTTGACGTGAGTCTCTAACCCTGAGAAGGACTCCTTTATGCTTGGAAGGCTTTCAATTCAGATTAGCAGTCTGAGCTATAATAACTCGTGATTGGGAAGGAAAATCCAAGTTCAAGTCAGAAAGAAAAACAGAGAACAAAGCAGGCCTTCCACTCCCAGCATGTGTTTATTTGTACTCAACTAACAGCTGGACCAAGAAGGATTTACTCTCAGTCCTTTCTGGCAGTGTACTCAGGATGAGTAAGTCGATTTGTTGCTCAGACCAAAGAGTCTGGGTTTAAAGAAACATCACCCATCTCCCTCATGCAGACGGCACACCCTTCTTACATGCAGAAGGTGATAAATGATCTATCGAAGATAATGTTGCATGTTTGAAATATTTAAATGTTGCATGTTTGAAAAATTGAAATCAGATGGAAAGTGAAGTGAAATGAAAAATGTTTTGTAAACTGTTTAGTGCCAAGTAAACAAGCCCTAGGTAGAGAGAGGCAGAGAACGGGAACTTAGGAGGCCAGAGGGCCTGAGGAAAGGTGGCATTTCCCATGTGTACCTAGAATTGGGGTCAGTACTAATGCTTTTGGAATTTAAAGCTAATGGGTATTATTTTCGCTATTGGGGGCATCAAGAAAGCAATCTTGGACTTACTTTCTTCTCTTTCTTCCTCTCATTCCATCTTCTAGAATATCTCTTTGCTTAGTAGTCTGAATTTTTCCAAGTAATTTCTAAGGCCCTTGAAGCACAAAATAAGTATAAGCAATTCTAAGTGATTTTCTGAAGGCTCACCAGACAAATAACACTAAGAATATTACCTACTTTTGCCTAGAAAGAGGAAGATGACTACATCTTTGTATCACAATAGCACTATCTTTTCATTGGTTTTTACTTATTTTCTTTCTTTATTTTTTTTCAGACAGAGTCTCGCTCTGTCGTCCAGGCTGGAAGGCAGTGATGTGATCTCAACTCACTGCAACCTCCACCTCCCAGGTTCAAGTGATTCTCCTGCCTCAGCCTCCTGAGTAACTGGGATTACAGGGGCCTGCCACCATGCCCGGCTAATTTTTTTTATTTGTAGTTTCACTGTGTTGGTCAGGCTGGTCTCAAACTCCTGACCTTGTGATCTGTCCACCTCGGCCTCCCAAAGTGCTGGGATAACAGGCGTGAGCCACCGCGCCCGGCCCATTGGTTTTTAAATCAAAGCAGTGGTGCACATGGCAGTGAGTCAGGCTCAGCAGTCCTCAGTGAAATCAGTGGCCTCCCCTCCCCCTCCCCAGTCTAACCAGTACCAGCAGCAACGACAGAAGTCTACACTCAGTCCTCCTGGGTGGTTTCCAACTCATCTCTGTACTTATATACTTATTTCTCAATTCCTTCCTTCCTTCCTTCCTTCCTTCCTTCCTTCCTTCCTTCCTTCCTTCCTCCCTCCCTCCCTCCCTTCTTCCCTCCCTTCTTCCCTCCCTCCCCCTGTTCCTTCCTCCCTTCCTCCCTCCCTCCCTCCCTTCTTCCCTCCCTTCTTCCCTCCCTCCCCCTGTTCCTTCCTTCCTTCCTCCCTCCCTCCCTTCTTCCCTCCCTTCTTCCCTCCCTTCTTCCCTCCCTCCCCCTGTTCCTTCCTCCCTTCCTTCCTCCCTCCCTCCCTTCCTTCCTTCCTTCCTCCCTCCCTTCCTTCCTTCCTTCCTTCCTCCCTCCCTCCCTTCCTTCCTCCCTCCCTCCCTCCCTTTCTCCCTGCCTTCCTCCCTCCTTTCTTCCCTCCCTCACTCTGTTCCTTTCTTCCTCCCTTCCTCCCTCCCTCCCTTCCTTCTTTCCTTCCTTCCTTCCTCCGTCCCTCCCTCCCTCCCTCCGTTCCTTCTTCCTTCTTCCTTCCTTCTTTCCTTCCTTCCTTCCTTCCTTTCTCCCTCCCTCCCTCTTTGCTCTCTCCCTCTCTCTTTGGGACAGGGTCTCGCCCTGTCACCCAGGGGGAATTGCAGTAGTGTGATCACAGTTCACTGCAGCCTTGACCTCCTGGGATCAAGGGGATCCTCCAATCTCAGCCTCAGAGTAGCTGGGACTGCAGGTTCATGCCACCACACCCTGTATTTTGTACTTTTTTTAGGGTCTTGCCACATTATCCCAGCTGGTCTCAAACTCTTGGGCTCAAGCAATCCTCCTGCTCCGGCCTCCTAAAGTGCTGGGACTATAGGTGTGAGCCACCTCACTCAACCTCAATTTCTTGACTATTTGCCAACTCTGGTAAGA